CCCTGCAGGACAGGGCGGAGCTGCCCCTGGGCGGCTCCCAGGCTGTCCGTCTTTGGCGGAAAGCAAAGCCTCCTCTTTCTCCCATGGTGCGGCTGGTGGATTTGAACTGCCGACCCTTGCACAGACCTACTGTGTACATCCTACTGTCTACGGTCAGAGCGAGGTTCAAAATGCTCAGCTGCTCAGGGAAAGCGTGGAGCTCTGAGTCCACCTCACGGCACCTGGGGAGAAAGGCCTGGCCGTCTCCAACCGCAAAGCCAGCCACGGACATCCCCGTGGCCGCAGTCTGACTCCGGCACACTAGGGGGCGCTGGGCGACACCTGGCTGTTTAAGAGCACAGCGCCCCCTGCTGGTGGGAATGTTGCAGACACTGGGTGGGTGCATCGGAAGAAAGGCCTGGCCGTCTCCAACCGCAAAGCCAGCCACGGACATCCCCGTGGCCGCACTCTGACTCCGGCACACTAGGGGGCGCTGGGCGACACCTGGCTGTTTAAGAGCACAGCGCCCCCTGCTGGTGGGAATGTTGCATACACTGGGTGGGTGCATCGGAAGAAAGGCCTGGCAAACATGAACACCAGTGTTGGGAAACCGTCCTAAGTGTGCAGGTCTGTTCTGGCCCCGGGACTCTGAGTGGACGCTGCAGCCACAGGGAGACCGGCAGGCGTCTCTCCATCCAGGCTGGGGTGGGGTGGGTGGTCCTGCAAGCTGCACCTGCCCCTCTCGGGTGCGTCTCAGCGGCCGGTGGTCTGCTTACCTCCACTGTTGTCGTAGGGGCCGGGCTGTGGGCGAGGGGCGGGCGGCTTGGGCCTGGGGTAGATATCTGTTGGAGAAGGACACAGAGGCTTTAGGGACACGGGGGCACGCGTCCGAGGGGGACCACCTTGAAAAATACAAGCCCGGCCAGGGAGTGGGTGCCCACACAGTGACCCTGCGGGACAGGGCAGAGCTGCCCCTGGGGGTCTCCCAGGCTGTCAGTCTTTACAGGAGCAGACAGTCTGGTCTTTCTCCCGAGGAGTTAATAGATAGATAGATAGATAGATAGATAGATAGATAGATAGAT